GCCAATATTTTCATGGAAATATCTGAGACGGACGCCATCCAGGCATCCACTCTACGCCTGTCCTTGTGGAAGAGGTACGTGGATGACACGTTTGTCATCTGGCCACATGGCCGACCGGCTCAACTACATCAATTCCATACACCCAGCCATCAAATTCACGATGGAGGTAGAAAAGGATGGCATGCTAACTTTCTTGGATGTCTTAATCAAAAAGAGACCAGATGGCTCAATGAGCCACTCTGTCTACAGGAAAGTAACCCATACTGACGCCTACCTAAAACCTGATTCCCACCACCATCCATCCCAGAAGAATCCCCTCATCAAAACGCTACACATAGAGCTCAGTGTATCTCCGACCATGAACACCTAACCAGTGAAGTAAAACACGTACACCAAGCTCTCAAGGCGAATGGATATTCTGATTAAACAATCCGCAAAGCCTTCACCCCAAGCGTGAGGAAGGAGCCATCTGAGGATCCAATCAAAACCATCACCCTGCCATACATAGCAGGGGTAACCACAAATATTTATAAAATCATGAAGAAATACAAGATCCAGGTCCGATTTAACACAGTACATAAAATTCGTGATCTGATCCCATCTGTGAAGGACAAAATTCCTGACATGCAATATCGCGGTGTCTACAAACTAAGCTGTATCTGCGGCAGCAGTTACATTGGGGAAACCAAACGACATGTCTCGGGCCGTGTTCGTGAACATAAGGCAGATCTGAAACACGGCAGGACCAATACTTCTGCTGTGGCTGATCATTACTTTAATGCGCCATAATAATTACTTTAATGCGCCATAATAAGGCGCTGTAGGCAGCTGAGCTGCCACCACGCCAATGGACCGACAGGGGGCAGCCGAGAGAGAGCGAGGTGTGTAGGGGTTGACCGAAGGTCAAACCCCCGCCCCTCCGTGACCGGAGGTTGACACCCCAGACCCCCCAGGGGCTGGGGGCTGAGGGGGATGGGGACCCCCACCACTTCCTAAAACCCCTTAAGAATTAAGACCTACTAAGACCTTCTAGAAGGTTCTGTAGGGGGGATCATGAGGGGAGGGGTGACCTCGACCTGGGGATAAAAGGCCGGCCCTCGGGACGGGCCAGGGAGTGTTCGCCAACTCAAGCTTGAAGACATCTGAAGACCTGAAGACTGGACCAGCACCCGGGGACCCTCCCCGAGGCTCTCGCTAGAGCCGGGGTTGCAGCGGACCAGGGCGAGTCCCGTACCCCGGGGTGGGTCGGTCGGTCCAGTCTTCCCCTAGCCGCCGTCGCAAGGGACCGGCGTGTAGCGAAGCCCGGCGTGTGTAGGACACGCTAGAAGGGAGGCTGTCTCTCCCTTAGGCTATCGGGTGTTACAGTAGTGTTTAACAGAGTAGTCTTAACAGAGTGTTAAGAGTTGTTACAATAAACGCGTTGCCTCCAGCAGATGTCTCCGTGTGGTTAGTTCGGGCCACAAAACTTGTATGTCACTGTCCCTCTCTCTGCATCTCTCTTTATGTCTCTGTCTCTCTATCTGTTTCTATCTCAGTCTGTGTATCTCTCTGTGTCTGTCTCTCTCTCCCTATGTCTCTGTATTAATGTTTCGTGTCTCTCTCTGCACTGCTTTTTTTGAATGTCCCTCTCTATTTCTGTGTCTGTCTCTATATATCTGTGGAAGTTCTTTCGTTCCATACATTGCCAACCGTGCTAATCGGAGGTGCGGGGGAAAGACAGCCTACTAAACACAAAAATAAGTTATAAAGAAATTAGTTTTCAATCTATATTTAAAATTGCATAGCTCCAGTGGCTTCCTAATATCGGGACAGCGTTCCAGACGGCCGTAAAACTGCATCAGAAAACACGTGATGCGGTGGCCATCTTTGTTCTATGGCCAGCCAAAAGCCACTGTGAGGATGACCGGAGTCTGCATGATGGTTTTTCTCTGTGTCTGTGTCCCTTTGTGTGTGTATTTGTAGGCCTGGGCTCTGGTTGTTCTTCATGCTTTCGGAGTCCCTGTCCCTCTGCTCACGATCATTAAGGACCTTCATGATGGTGAGCGGGCCTGGGTAAAACTACGTGGCTGGGAGTCAGAGCTATTCCCTGCACACCTTGGGGTGCGACAGGGATGTCCTCTGGCTCCCACATTATTTAACATCTATTTTGACCTCGTGGTTCGTGAAGCCTTCAATAGCTGTACCGGAGGAATCTCCATTTGGTACGGATACAATGGGAGGCTGATCGATGCCCGGGTAATTGCTGCTCACTCAGAGGAGGAGTTGGAGGCTCTGCTGCCGAACCTGGAGCTTGCCACCAAGAGGTGGGGCGTTACCATCAGCCCCACCAAAACTAAGCACCTGCCTGGGTATTTGTACCATCGGACACTCCACCCCCACAACTCCAAATTGGTGATAGGGTAGTTGTGGAGAGAGTGGAGAGCTTCCCATACCTTGGCAATGTGCTCATGACCGGCTCCGCTTTAACAGCAGAGGTCTCACTCCAAATCAGTCAAGCGGCATTATATTTTCATCGGTTGCGTAACGCTGTGTGGAAGCTACCTGGTCTTTCACTCCGCACAAAGCCTCAGGTCTTCTCGGCCACGGTCATTCCCTCCCTTCTCTACGCTTGCAAAACGTGGACCCCCCTAATGGAACATCGTCGCCGGTTAGAAACATTTATGCTGGCCTGCCTACGATCCATCCTGGGTTTAACCAGGCTAGATTGTGTGAGCTCACAAATCGTTGAAAGATGTGGACAAAGTCCCATTGGTGAGCTCCTCCGGCAGGCAAGGCTTCGTTGGCTGGATCATGTAGCCCGCATGCCCAGCCACCGCATGCCTAAACAGCTTTTGTTCAGCCGGATCTAGGTGGTGAAACGGGCGCGGACGGGCTAGAGAAGAGATGGATTGATGTGGTACATGAGGATGTGGACTTGCCGATGACTTGTACCAGCGGTGTCAAGATCGGCCTCGGTGGAGGAGGCTCGTGAAGGACGCTGCTACTGGGCAGTTGGAGGCAGTCACCCTCCAACAACAACAGACGGCGGAGGAGCGACGCTCACAACAACGAGCGGAGTGCCGGGTGGCTAAAGCACAGCAAGTTGATACAGTAGGGGGCACAGGTGGTGCATCAGCCAGTAGTCTCAGTCAGTAGACCCGTGGCATCTAGGTCTGCCCCGTGACCTCCTGCCAGCGGGTTTTCGACACTTCACGTGACCTCAAGGTGCACATAGCCTGGCACAAGCGTCATGGTGATGTCACTGCCACTTAGTGGCGAATGGCGGTTGTTGTTGTGTTTGTTTCTCACTTTACTCCTACGTCTCTCACTGCCTATTTCTGTGTCTATCTTTCGCTGTGTGTGTTTCTCTCCGTGTCTTTCTCTCTACCCCTATTTGCCCATGGCGATGCCCTCATTATTTTCATTACAAATTTTCGCCCATGAGTAGCTGCCCCGATCGTCCATTCCTAAGTCCAGTCCTGACTTTAGTGCTAAAACATTTTACAATACGAGAATCACAGTCACATCCACCTCATGTAAATACTGTACCATATACTTAGCATGAAGACGTACCTAATCAGGCCTATTGACCATGTAGAGTGGTGAAAGTTTCTGTGGGAAAATATTAAAAAGTAATTGTAGCTCCCTGTGGAATCAATGTTAGAGGAACTAGAATATGCATGCTCATATGTATACCTAGGGGAGTTATTGAAGGCAGACCGGGATCATAGACAGGATATAAGAGAGGGGGACGACGTTAGATCGGAGTGCTTCTGAATATCAACATAGCTATGTGCTCAGGGAATCACGTTAACAAACGGTGCATCTATCACCTGCTGTGATGTATGGCTCAGACACACCGACATATCAAATGAGTGCAGCTAATACTTGGACGAGGAAGACATTGACATATGATCTCTGGATTAATGTATAAGCATCTGCGTGCTGAAGAAGGAAAACGAATGCATGGAAATGTAAAACATTAGAATGATCTGAGATTGAAAACATCGCTAGACCTGCTGCTGGCGGATGGTTCGTAGGGACGCAGTTATGTAGTCCACCAGTAATTTAATTCGTCACGATTCAGAATTTACAATTTCATTTATTACTTGCTCATGCCTCGTTGTTTTTACCGTCTCCTGTGTACACACGCACACAACAAAAGCTGGGCGGTGGCGGCTACGCTGCTGCACGTGGCTGCTGCACTGTGGAGGCAGCAGCGAGGGTCGGTGGATCACCGCACTTCGATGTTGTGAAACTCCCTTGCCGTGGGCGTCGAGGAGGTGCCATGCTCTGGCTATGCCAGGAGAAGGCGGTAAAGGAAGAATGTGGACTGCATGGGATTGATCGTTTGCCCCCTTCGCACGCATGGGCGCCACGGTGGTGAGATGTTAACTACCTCGCCTGGTATACAGGTCATGGATTCGATCCCGACCCAGACGCCTGCTGTATATTTGGAGTTTGCATGTCTCTGTCTCCCCGTGGTCGCGTGGATTTTTTCCGGGTCCTCCGGTTTTTACCTCCGCAGATACAGAATAAACGAGCGTTTTGAGTATTTGACTGCTGTAAATTTCCACAAGATAAGCCACTTCGTTGAGCTATCATTTGAGGCCAGGTCGTTTCTGCAAAAAAGAGCTGTATAGCTGAGTGAGCTTCACGTGGTGAACATTTTTTTATTTGGTTATTCTTCAGGTGCTCCGGTTTCCTCCCACATTAATTGGCCCACACCACCTCAAACTGTAGAGGACCGCAGAGCTTGGGCAATCGTTGGCGCCGACTCGTCACCTGGCTGCTGCCTTCCCGCTCATCTGTGGTTCCTCCTCGCGCCTCCGAGTCGTTGTCCTCTCTGCGAGAGCGAGCGAGTGATGTGCGGTAGCGGCGTGTTGCAAGTTGACATTGTTATTATTGACACACACACTAGAGGACGGATAAGGTGGCGTGACCTCACATGCATGACAACTGACCCATCGCCAGACACCGCTCACCATGCGGGCACTCACCACTCACCAGATATCATTCACCTGGCACACACATGATATACTCATCAACCACCACGCACCACTCACCTGATCCGAACCACACATTCCAGGCATTTGCCATTCACTCGCACACAAACTCACACCATTCTCACCTATTCGTCCATAACATTGACAAAAAACACGTCTCATTCACAATCCTGTATCTGTCTCATCGCATAAAACAAAAAAATCAATGTTTTTTTTTTATCCCATCGGCCCCAAGGTCTTCGTGGAGTGCATAATATCAGCAGTATTAGTTCAATACAAAGCAAGCTATGGGCTCGATTAGACATTCAGCGTCTCATCAGCAGTCAGGCTTGCCCCAACCAACAGTTGGTGAATCGCAAGATACTAAAGATGCTAATAAGCAAAGACGCCCCACCCCCGATAACTTCAAGATAATGGGTCCGAGTTTTCACGCAAAATGGTATACTGTACTGTAATAGATTCTGATATACAGCACACATTACTCAATTGGGATTATAGATAGCCACCCCCTACTGTGAAAACTGGCAGGACCCTCCTGAAAAAGAGCCACGAGACTCACTCAGTGAGGCAGCGGTGGCCCTGGACCCGCTGTTGCCAGCAATCGGCGCCCCCCAAACCCCAGGGGCAGATCGAGGCTGAGTTTTTTGGTAAACTGGGAAACATTTTGCCCCTATTTTCCGTTTAATGGTTTTTAAAGAGGCATATTTATTCGATTTGTCCGTCTGTCCAATCAATCAATTGTCAGAAATGTTGAGAAATTATTTTTTTTCCTCGAATTTGGCACCCCACTTAACTTGGCTCCCTAGACGACCGCCTAGATAGCCTACATGGACGTGTCGCGCCTGCAGTGAGGCTTTCCTGGGTAAACAAGCCTCATACTGGTAGGAACCTCCTGGTTACACCAGCCCACAGGGGATTATTGTGTCCGTCCATCCGTCGTGCATCAAAAAATAGGAGGGGTGGGGCTGGGTGGAGAGGGGAGGGTGGGGAGGGGCTGAGTGGGGAGGGGCTGAGTGGGGAGGGGAGGGTGGGGAGGGGCTGGATGGGGAGGGTGGGGCTGGGTGGGGAGGGGAGGGTGGGGAGGGGCTGAGTGGGGAGGGTGGTGAGGGTGGGGCTGGGTGGGGGGTGGGAGGGGTGGGGCTGGGTGGGGAGGGGCTGGTCACCCTGTGGTGCCCTTATAAAACTCAACGTTTAACCTACTCACGCCGGCTTGTGCCCGCCCTCACAGTCGGGCATATTTGCGGAATACACCACGTGGTGCCGCCGTTGACCCTGGCCATTGACCGAGCAACCCAACGTTCCTACCAGCTCCCTCCGCAGGAATGTGTTAATCATCATGATCACACTTGACACCACTCGCTTGTGGCCGTCTGATGCGTATTGTCTCCGCGGCACAGTAGCGTGTTTAGTCCAGCAGGGGGTGCTGCGGCAATGTTGTTGACGCACGTGTTGGCTTCACGTGCTATGAAGAAGAACAATTGACCAAATGTCGCGTATTAAAAAATAAATACTTTTAAGACCACAGTTTTTTATTTACGAATTTTCTCTGAGTAGTCATTGCACTGCAGCACGTGACTTTTTTATTGTATCTAGGTCAAGAGTCATAACATAGGCAATGTGCAATTCCAAAGACCCCCATGGATGATTATGGTGGGTGTTTCAGATTGCCATCAAACACCCTACCTGTGTCACGCACTGGATTCTATTTTTTTTTTAAATCTGAGATAAAATTCATACGTCGTACAAAGTTCACATTTAATACCATAGCCAGCTGGATTAATACGGTCAAAATGAGTTATCTTTCGGCTCTGTACGTTGGCAACTACTCAAATTAATGCTGCCAAAACACACCGGCTTATGTGAGCCGATTCATAATCTGCGCCATAACTCACACACGTGTTTTCCTTGTTGCCTCTCTCTCCAGAGGCTGTCCCCACTCCTTCCCTTGGCCTCGCTCCTCCACCAGCGGGCCCTGTTCAGCTCCATCCACCACATGAACCACAGATGTTTCTTTAATCTAGTTTAGAGGCTATAAGCAGTTGTTATAGGTCATTACCAGTGCCATAGGTTATCGGTTTCTGGTAAAAATCAGCTGGACCTGTAAAATGAAAATTACAGGCAGCCCTCGACTTACGAACACCCGACTTAAGAATACCCGCCTTAGGAACACCCGACTGACGAACACTAGTACTTAAGAATCCGCGAAATTTCGTGAAACTGAACGTTCGTAAATCGAGGGATACCTGTATAGAGTGAGAGACAAGGTAGGGGCGATGAGAAGTTTCCTGTTGCCCGGGAAAGCAAACGCGGTGTGGAAGGCAGGGCATGTGGAAGGAGGGAAGTTGTGAGATGTGATGAGGCTAAGGTTGACTCAACCTCAAATTCTTACCTGGTGCGATGTGTAAATATCGTCACTGGCAAGATAAAGACGGGCGGGCGTGGTGCTGGCCACCCATCCCTCGTGTGCCGTTCAGGCCTTCATAGGTGCTTGCTTATAGCACTTGCCCCAACAGTCTGTTAAGGCTATACGGGTGATCTTTGTCTGTATAATGAATGCCATGGATTTGGGCATAGGCAAAGGAATCTAGCATTTATTATCAATCCATGCACTTCCTCCCACCATTCTCCCTAAAATAAGAATAATTAATGAATATGCACACCGTTAATTACCCACGTGGGGAGCCATATCAGCGCTATAAATCCGTCTTGCAGCTTGTGGACTGTGCAGCGTGGTGTCCCGCACCACAAGGGCCCTGCTTTGCACCACAAACTAACTTTGCTTCTGCCACCAACAAGGTGTAGGGCGTGATGTGCATGTAGGGGGAAGAAGAGTCTGGGGCCAGATACATGGAATGTGGGATGTGGGCAGGAAGAAGGTTGTGTATTGGAGATCCTGGCTCTGAGATAATGTGGAGGTTTGGGTAGGCTGTGTGCGCTGAGTGTTGGGGCGAGTGGTCGGTGGTATGTGGACCGGACAAAGAGGCTGATCGTATGTTGCTAGGTGTGTATGAGGCTGGGTATAGGAGTTGGGGGTGTGCAAGGTGTGTACGAGGATGGGTGTTTGTATTCGAGTTGGGTGTATGGGCTGTAGATTAGACTATCTGGCTGTTTGATTGCTAGGTGGGTATAGGGCTGGCTGTGTGAGGTCTGGGTGAGTGTTTGGGGCTGGCTGTGTGAGTTCTGGGTGAGTGTTTGGGGCTGGCTGTGTGAGTTCTGGATGAGTGTTTGGGGCTGGCTGTGTGAGTTCTGCGTGAGGGTATGGGGCTGGCTGTGTGAGTTCTGGGTGAGTGTTTGGGGCTGGCTGTGTGAGTTCTGGGTGAGGGTTTGGGGCTGGCTGTGTGAGTTCTGGGTGAGTGTTTGGGGCTGGCTGTGTGAGTTATAGGTTAGTGTTTGGGGCTGGCTGGGTGAGTTCTGGGTGAGGGATTGGGGCTGGCCGTGTGAGTTCTGGGTGAGTGTTTGGGGCTGGCTGTGTGAGTTCTGGGTGAGTGTTTGGGGCTGGCTGTGTGAGTTCTGGGGGAGTGTTTGGTGCTGGCTGTGTGAGTTCTGGGTGAGTGTTTGGGGCTGGCTGTGTGAGTTCTGGATGAGTGCTTGGGGCTGGCTGTGTGAGTTTTGGGTGAGTGTTTGGTGCTGGCTGTGTGAGTTCTGGGTGAGTGTTTGGGGCTGGCTGTGTGATTTCTGGATGAGTGTTTGGGGCTGGCTGTGTGAGTTCTGCGTGAGGGTTTGGGGCTGGCTGTGTGAGTTCTGGGTGAGTGTTTGGGGCTGGCCGTGTGAGTTCTGGGTGAGTGTTTGCTGCTGGCTGTGTGAGTTCTGCGTGAGGGTTTGGGGCTGGCTGTGTGAGTTCTGGGTGAGTGTTTGGGGCTGACTGTTTGAGTTCTGGGTGAGTGTTTGGGGCTGACTGTGTGAGTTCTGGGTGAGTGTTTGGGGCTGGCTGTGTGAGTTCTGGGTGATTGTTTGGGGCTGGCTGTGTGAGTGCTGGGTGAGGGTTTGGAGCTGGCTGTGTAAGTTTTGGGTGAGGGTTTGGGGCTGGCTGTGTGAGTTCTGGGTGAGTGTTTGGGGCTGGCTGTGTGAGTGCTGGGTGAGGGCTTGGGGCTGGCTGTGTGAGTGCTGGGTGAGGGTTTGGGGCTGGCTGTGTGAGTTCTGGGTGATGGTTTGGTGCTTGCTGTGTGAGTTCTGGGTGAGGGTTTGGGGCTGGCTGTGTGAGTTCTGGGTGAGTGTTTGTGGGTGGCTGTGTGAGTTCTGGGTGAGTGTTTGGGGCTGGCTGTGTGAGTGCTGGGTGAGGGCTTGGGGCTGGCTGTGTGAGTGCTGGGTGAGTGTTTGGGGCTGGCTGTGTGAGTTCTGGGTGATGGTTTGGTGCTTGCTGTGTGAGTTCTGGGTGAGGGTTTGGGGCTGGCTGTGTGAGTTCTGGGTGAGTGTTTGTGGGTGGCTGTGTGAGTTCTGGGTGAGTGTTTGGGGGTGGCAGTGAGTTCTGGGTGAGTGTTTGGTGCTGGCCTTGTGAGTTCTGGGTGAGTGTTTGGGGATGGCTGTGTGAGTTCTGGATGAGTGTTTGGGGCAGGCTGTGTGAGTTCTGGGTGAGTGTTTGGGGCTGGCTGTGTGAGTTCTGGGTGAGTGTTTGGGGCTGGCTGTTTGAGTTCTGGGTGAGTGTTTGGGGCTGACTGTGTGAGTTCTGGGTGAGTGTTTGGGGCTGGCTGTGTGAGTTCTGGGTGAGTGTTTGGGGCTGGCTGTGTGAGTGCTGGGTGAGGGTTTGGAGCTGGCTGTGTGAGTTCTGGGTGAGGGTTTGGGGCTGGCTGTGTGAGTTCTGGGTGAGTGTTTGGGGCTGGCTGTGTGAGTTCTGGGTGATGGTTTGGTGCTTGCTGTGTGAGTTCTGGGTGAGGGTTTGCTGCTGGCTGTGTGAGTTCTGGGTGAGTGTTTGGGGCTGGCTGTTTGAGTTCTGGGTGAGTGTTTGGGGCTGACTGTGTGAGTTCTGGGTGAGTGTTTGGGGCTGGCTGTGTGAGTTCTGGGTGATTGTTTGGGGCTGGCTGTGTGAGTGCTGGGTGAGGGTTTGGAGCTGGCTGTGTAAGTTTTGGGTGAGGGTTTGGGGCTGGCTGTGTGAGTTCTGGGTGAGTGTTTGGGGCTGGCTGTGTGAGTGCTGGGTGAGAGCTTGGGGCTGGCTGTGTGAGTGCTGGGTGAGGGTTTGGGGCTGGCTGTGTGAGTTCTGGGTGATGGTTTGGTGCTTGCTGTGTGAGTTCTGGGTGAGGGTTTGGGGCTGGCTGTGTGAGTTCTGGGTGAGTGTTTGTGGGTGGCTGTGTGAGTTCTGGGTGAGTGTTTGGGGCTGGCTGTGTGAGTGCTGGGTGAGGGCTTGGGGCTGGCTGTGTGAGTGCTGGGTGAGTGTTTGGGGCTGGCTGTGTGAGTTCTGGGTGATGGTTTGGTGCTTGCTGTGTGAGTTCTGGGTGAGGGTTTGGGGCTGGCTGTGTGAGTTCTGGGTGAGTGTTTGTGGGTGGCTGTGTGAGTTCTGGGTGAGTGTTTGGGGGTGGCAGTGAGTTCTGGGTGAGTGTTTGGGGATGGCTGTGTGAGTTCTGGATGAGTGTTTGGGGCTGGCTGTGTGAGTTCTGGGTGAGTGTTTGGGGCTGGCTGTGTGAGTTCTGGGTGAGTGTTTGGGGCTGGCTGTTTGAGTTCTGGGTGAGTGTTTGGGGCTGACTGTGTGAGTTCTGGGTGAGTGTTTGGGGCTGGCTGTGTGAGTTCTGGGTGAGTGTTTGGGGCTGGCTGTGTGAGTGCTGGGTGAGGGTTTGGAGCTGGCTGTGTGAGTTCTGGGTGAGGGTTTGGGGCTGGCTGTGTGAGTTCTGGGTGAGTGTTTGGGGCTGGCTGTGTGAGTGCTGGGTGAGGGCTTGGGGCTGGCTGTGTGAGTGCTGGGTG